GTTGTTGTTGTTGTTACCACTGCTGGTGGTCACGTTGGCAACGTCTTTCTTCGGCTTGCTGCTCGCCGAGCTGGATCTCTGGATACCGCTGTTGTTCTCGTTGGTCTTTCTCGGCGAGGCGGGCACCGGCGTGGAGGGTGCCTCGGCAGCTGGTGGCAGGCTCTTGCGCGTGCTGCACGACTTGGCCACCACCGAGTCGATCTGTGTCGGCGCGATTGCCGAGATGGTGTGCCTCTTGTTGTTGCCGCCAACAACACCGGTCAAATTGTTCGCGTTCGCGACACACGCGGCCACCACGTTGCTCTTCGTGTACTGTAGCCCGTTCTCCACCAGGCCGACAGCGCTGCCGTGCGACAACGACGGCGATATGCTCAACAGATTCTTGGCCAGGGTGCCGGCAGACGTGCCCGACAGCAGACCCAACTGTTGCAGAAGCAACGAACTGTTCTCCGGTCTCATGCCAGCCATGCTCGTCATCAGGCCTACGTAGTCGATCGCCTTTGGCTTGTTGTTCTCCAGCTTGTTGTTGCCGGTGGCGTCCGGGTCGGCGCACACGTCGCCGACGAACGACGTGCCGGCTGACGTGACGGCCGACTGCTGCTGCTGTTGTTGTTGCTGCTGCTGATGGTGATGATCCATCTTCGGCTTCTTCACGCAGGGGCTCTCGTCCTCGCTGGAGAGGTTGGCCGAGCCACCGCCGCCGGTGGCCAGGTTGCTGGCAGCGACGTTCGCGCCGGAAGACGAGGCCGGCGAGTGTGCCTCGCTGTCTGGCGTCGACGAGTTCCTCGCCATCCCTCTGATCTTGTGCTCGGATTTGCACCAGCCGCGCAACGTCGACTCCGGCACGCCGATGTCGCGGGCCACCGAAGCCTTGCTCTCACCCTCGTGCACCCTCTGTATCGCGTCCATCTTCTCCGAAGCGGACAACGCTCTGAGTGGCCGCTTTCCCGGCCGAGCCGATTCACCCCTCATTCCGGCTAGGCGACAATCTTTCGCCCCTTCCCGGAAACGATCCTCGTACAAGCCGTCCTCCGTCGTAATTGTAACTGCCTCTTGTGACTCGCCTTCTTCTTCGAGATCTTGTCTGCAACCACTGAGCCTTGCTTTCTCGTCCTCGTCCTCCTCCTGCGAAAGACGTTACGAAGAAAAGAGATTAATATCGTACGATATTGCGTGTTCCGTTTGGTTTGTCACTTTCACCGAAATCGAAACTCTCGAAACACTCGGCTCGAATTTTCCAATCGAAGGGAAACGAACAACAGAACGTTTGCGTGCGTTTGCCCTTGATGAATTGTTGGCATGCGATTC